CTTTTCTTCTACACACCCCCAGAGTTGTAATATTTTTCATATATATCAACAAATGGAACCTCTTTCTTTTGTCGCAGTCTGGGATTACAGGCAAGATACCACTCTCCTCTTTTCCAGGTTTCGGGAGGGGGGGTCACCTTATTTTTAAACCCAGTTTTTTGCTTCCCGGCCCTTCCGGGGAATTTTCGGGGGGGGGGAGCCTCCTTTCCTCCACTTCCCCAGAAGTTCCCTTTAATGACCCCCACACGGATAACCTTTTAGGGGGGGAGCCCGGCCCCCCCCCCCCCCCCCCCCCCCCAGATAATGTGGGAAATTCTCATACACAACTGATAGGAAAGGAAACAAATACATATTTGGAATTTAATTTGGCAGTATCAAAAAGTTTAATACTGATATTCTTTGAACCAATAATTCTATTTATAGAAATTTATCCTATAAAATTGGTACAAGTACACCCAAAAAAATGCCTAAGTTTAATGCAGCCCTGTTTGAAAAGAGCAAAAAAAGTTGGAATTAATACATGATTTCATAGATGAGGGCTGTATAGGCTAGTCTATATAATACAATACAGCCATTAAGGAAAAGGGAATGAAAGCGCATAGGAGGGTTATAAACACTGTGTACTGTTTCACTAAGTTACAAACTTAGGACAGCTGCAAATAGTTACAATCAACCCTTTAAAACATTTTAACAGCCCTGCTCGATTTGGCTCAATGGATAGAGCATTGGCTTGCAGACTAAAGGGCTCAATTCTGGGCAAGAGCACATGCCAGGGTTATGGGTTCAATCCCCAGTGGGGGGTGTGCAGGAGGCAGCCGATCAATGTTTCTCTCTCATCATTGACATTTCTATCTCTCCTTTCCTCTCTGAAATCAAATAAAAAAAATATTTTTTAATAAAAAAATAAAAACAAAAAGTTTCAACATAAATTAAGACTTATAGAAACACTAGAGGCCCACAGATTCGTGCACCAGTGGAGTCCCTCAGCCTGGCCTGCGGGACCGAAACCAGCCCTCCAACATCCCCTGAGGGATCCTGAATTGCAAGAGGGCGGTTCTCAGGTGACACACCCTGGAATCAGGCTCCCTCCTCTCTGGTTCTCAGAGCATCTGCCACTGGTGGTCAGTGCGCATCACAGCTACCGGTCAGTCGGTCGAAAGGCCAGATGGTCGCTTAGGTGTTTAAATGTGTAGAAGATTTATGAATAGTAGAAAGAACATTCCATAGTCTTTTTGTTGTTGTTAATCCTCACCCAAGGATATTTTTCCCATTGATTTTGAGAGAGAGCGGAAGGTGGTGGTGGGGGTGGCGCGGAGACATCCATTGGTTGTCTCCATTGGAGCTGGGGACTGAACCTGCAACCCAGATACCTGCCCTTGATCGGGAATTGAACCTGCGACCCTTCCTGCACTGGTGGACGCTCTAACCATTGAGCCCACTGGCCTGGGCAAACGTTCCACATTCTTCACAGATTCTCCAAATTTTAACATTTCCCCTCACTTGCCTTATTGGTCTCTCATCTCTTTACCCCCTAATACTGCAGTGCATACCCCCAAAACAAGAATGTTCTCTTACTAACGACATCATTACCAGAATCAGAGAAGTGGCACTGATCTGGTACTTCAAAACAATTTTTTTAGATATATTTTTATTGATGTCAGAGAGGAAGGGAGAGGGAGAGAGAGATGGAAACATCCATGAGAATCATTGATCAGCAGCCTCCTACACGCACCCCACTGGGAATCGAGCCTGCAACCGGGGCATGTGCCCTTGAGCGGAATGGAACCCGGGACCCTTCAGCCCGCAGGCCGACGCTCTGCCCACTGAGCAACACCGGCCAGGACTCAAAATAAATGTTAACCAGCCCAGGTTTCACCCACGCAAGCCTTTCCGGCTGTGAGTCCCGGTGTGGGCTTCCCTGCACCCTGCGCATTCCTCAATTTTTAAGTCGTCATTTTCCAAAGGCCAACTTCGCGGCCGGTGCCACGGTTTTCTCTCTGCTCTCACTTAATCTGAGGTAAGTCCTATCACTAACTTCACGTTCAGGGTCCGGATCCCAAGTCTCCATGAGGGAAAGCAGGACTTCGTCTCCTCCCTGGGTCCTCTGAGCCACCCGCACCAGCTCTTCAGTCAGGACACCCTACCAGGGACCCCGACATCCTGGGAAATTAGGCGGATTTACCCATCACTTCCTAGACCAGTGGTTCTCAACCTTCCTAACGCCGGGACCCTTTACTACAGTTCCTCCTGTTGTGGTGACCCCCAACCATAAAATCATTTTCGTTGCTACTTCATAACTGTAATTTTGCTCCTGTTATGAATCGTCATGGAAATATCTGATATGCAGGATGTATTTTCATTGTTACAAATTGAACATAATTAAAGCATAGTGATTAATCACAGAAACAATATCTAATTATATGTGTGTTTCCCTATGGTCTTAGGCGACCCCTGTGAAAGGGTCGTTCGACCGCCAAAGGGGCCGCGACCCACAGGTTGCGAACCGCTGTCCTAGACGCACCCTTTCATAGCCATGGAGGTCGTTCGTGCCACCAATGCCAGGTCTCAGCCACACGGACCCGCTTCCTCTACCGCACAGGTGGCTGCGGCGGGTCATTTCACCACCTCTCAGGGGAGTCTCGGGGCCACGGGGCTCGGGATCCCTCCCCCCCACACCCCCAAGTCCTGAAGTCCAGCCATTTCAGGGCTGTGCCCCTCGGGAGGTCGGGTGGGGACGCTGTTCTCACTTTACAGAGGCCGGAGTCGCCAGAGGGCTGGCCAAGGCCACCCCGGTTCGGTCCCCCAACCTGCAGCCCGGCCCGGCCTCCCCACAAGGCCGGAGGCACCCCCAGCCCGCCGGGCTGTCCACCTGGGCTCCGCGCGCGGCCGGGAAGCCACGCCGCGGGGGCCGCGCTGAGGGAGCGAGCGCGCCCCGCCCCAGGCCTCCCCCACCCCACTCCCAGCCTGCCCCGACGAAACCGCGGGGTCCCGGGAAGAGAAACGCGTGGCGAAGCGAGCCCCAAACCGCCGCCGCCCACTCACCTCAGAACTGCGTTTACTCTGGTAACGGCCTCTCCCACGGCTGGCGAAACTCAACTTCCGGGAAGACGTCGATGATGCTGTCTCTTTATTGGCTGAAAGAGCTGTTCTTTATCCGAGACTTGTCCCGCCTCACACCGCTGGGCTCGCTAGGGCGGCCTGCGCAAAATTTTTCTCCCCCGACCTTCCCCCCCCCCCCCCCCGTCTCCTTTCCGCCCCCCCATCTTCCTGCAATTTGGTGGCTTCGTCACCAGGGGGCGTTAAAGTGGGATAGTACCTCTACTTTCTGCCCCTAAAAGTAGGAGCTGGTAGCTGCTTTTCGTGTTTGTTTGTTTTTTAACGCTTAAAATTAAACAAGGCATCTATCTACATGCCTTCCATAAAGGTTAGAAAATAAGGATAAGCAGATTTTTTTTAAAGTTATGTCGACTCTAACCTCACCGTCAAAAATAAATTTTTAAAAAATGAGATTGGATTTTATGTACTATTGAAATGTTTTTTTTAAATCTGGAAATATTTGTGACCGTGATTGGAAATGAATAATATATTCCTAATTTCCATTTCTTCACCATCCACTGACTTTTATTTTTATTTAGAAACTCAGAGATATCTATTCTATTCCCAGGCAGCAAATTAACAAAAAAGAAATCAGACATAAAGATTTCTTTGAAAGGTTATTTTCATGAGAAGTGTCACAAATTTATAAATTCGTGCGCTGCTTATGAGAGCATGGTGCACTCAAAAGAAAAGATTGTTATTCTGATAAAAAGTTCTCAAATTTACCTCATTAAAATAAGATTCTTTGATTTCATTTTCAAAAACTTCTTATGGAGCATTCGAAATGTTGATAGGTCGCTGCCACCAACTCTCATAGTTTGCTGGCAGAAATAAAACATGATGCAGCCTCTTTAGAAAACTGCTTGACGCTTTCTTATGTAGTTAAACATGTAACGATTACAGGGCCCAGCAATTTCATCCCTATGCAGTTACTGAAAACATGTCCATATAAAGATGTGTATATGGATGTTTATAGGACTGAAAATAGCCCAAATGTCCATCAACTGGTGAATGAATAAATGAATTATAGTACCTCCGTACAATGGAATATGCCTCATCTGTAAACAGGGACAAGCCCTTGATACATGCATCAACACTGATGGACCTCAAAAGTTTTATGCTAAGAGAAAAAAAGAAGCCAGACATGAAAGTCTATATGTTGTCAGATTCTATTTATATGACATCCTGAAAAAGACAAAATTTTGCACATGAACAGCTATCAGATCACTGGTTACTAGGGACTAGGGTTAAAGGGAGAAGAAGGAACACAGAAGGGGCAGAAAAGAATTTATTTGGGGTAATGAAATATTCTATGTTAATTCTGGTGGTGGTGGTGGTTATATGGAAGTACATATTCATCAAAACTCAGAACCATAAACCTGACATTCATTTTGCCGTATATAAATTATACCCCAATAAATCTATCCTTTAAAAAAATTCTGTGATGCTCTGGCTGCTTTTGCTCAGTGGTTAGAGCGTCGGTCTGCAGACAGAAATGTTTCCAGTTCCATTTCCGGTCAAGGGCGTGTATCTCAGTTGCAGGTTTGATCCCCAGCCTCTGTAGGGGCACATGCGGGAGGCAACCAACCAATGTGTGTCTTTCACATCGATGTTTCTCTCTCTCCCTCTCTCCCCCCCTCCTCCCTCTCCTCCCTCCCTTTCACTCTCTAATCAATGGAAAAAATCAAGTGAGGATTAACCAAAAATAAAAATTAAAAAAATAAATCTGCCGAAACCGGTTTGGCTCAGTGGATAGAGCGTCGGCCTGCGGACTGAAAGGTCCCAGGTTCGATTCCGGTCAAGGGCATGTACCTGGGTTGCGGGCACATAACCAGTAGGAGATGTGCAGGAGGCAGCTGATCGATGTTTCTCTCTCATCGATGTTTCTAACTCTCTATCTCTCTCCCTTCCTCTCTGTAAAAAAATCAATAAAATATATTTAAAATAAAAAAAATAAATCTGTGATTAATCTTTTCATTTTCTTAACAGTGTTTTCTTTTATGGTTCATATGCTTCTTATGTCCTAGCCAAGACATCTTTGCCTAACACATGGTCACGAAGATTTTCCCTTGTGTTTTCTTCTAAACAGTGGTTCACAACCTTGGCTGCACATTAGAATCACCTGGGAATCTTTTTAAAATTCTGATTTCTGGGCCAATGAGGATCTTAAAAAGATTCCCAGATGATTCTAATGTGCAGCCAAGGTTGAGAACCACTGCCATCGTGTCTTGTGCCTACTACGCCATTCCTTAGCAGCAGGGGACAGTAGTAACCCTAGCGTTTGAGAACTATCTTCAGTTTACATTTTCTTTTATATCAAAGATTTGTGCCCCACATGTGACATCCCACTGAAGGACAGTGAGGCCCCACTGAAGACCAGTTATCTCTTCTTGCAGGCTGGAGAACTTAAAACGGAGTTAGAGTCCTACAAAAAGGGAGATAAGCCCTTTTGAATTACTTGTAGCTGTTCCTGTGGTTGAAGTCTCCATTTGCATCGCTATGTGGAATTCCATCGAAGAAAAAGTAAATATACTATTATCATGCCTGTTTTGGAGTCATCACAGAAATCTCTCCACGTTATTGGTTGCTTGGGTGGGGGTGGGGAGCACTGTTTTTTCTGCGACGTTCGGCTGGAGTAGAGCAGTTACTGGGTGAAAGCTTTCTGCCTCTTTTTGGCTGCTCCTTTCCTGGTCCTTTAGAGAGAGAAGGTTTTTGTTGGGACTTTTTTTCAGGATTGCCAGCTTCTTCAGCTCCAAGTCTGAGATGCATGAGACAAAAAAGAAAAACCCAGGGAATTCACCACCTCATTTCCTGTGGTCCCTGGTAGGTCTCTCTGTGTCTCCCCACCTTTCAGAGTCTTCTCATGTTTATTTTACATATAATGTCCTAGGTCTTTAGTTGTATGAATGAGAGGCATAGGGGAAAATACATCTGCTCCATCTTTCTGGAGGCATAAGTCTAACCCAGTGGTTCTCAACCTTCTGGCCCTTTAAATACAGTTCCTCATGTTGTGACCCAACCATAAAATTATTTTCGTTGCTACTTCATAACTGTAATGTTGCTACTGTTATGAATCGTAATGTAAATATCTGATATGCAGGATGGTCTTAGGCGACCCCTGTGAAAGGGTCGTTCGACCCCCAAAGGGGTCTCGACCCACAGGTTGAGAACCGCTGGAATCAGTTCATTTTTGAGCAATCAGTGAATTATCAAGGCAAACAATGGGATGTTTGTTTCCTTTTTTTCATATCTACATGTTCTAAACTTTCCAGAGTAGATACACTTTTGCAGTAAGGAAATGTACTTTATATTTAAATTTAAAACCATATATAGTAATTATACCCTTCCTGGCTATCACTAACTCTCTCTCTCTCTCTCTCTCTCTCTCTCTCTCTCTTTTCAAATAGAAGCAAAAGTTTATTTAGAAAGATACAGTGGCAAAAAAGAAAAAGGAAAAAGAAATGTTTTAATAAAGAAAGAAACAAAAAAAACACAAACAAAAAATAGAAAGATACAGTGGTAGAAGAAGTGAGTTGTGGAAGAAGTGAGCCAGCTGGGCTGCGTTGGCTCATGAAACAAGTTTTATGAGCAAAAGAAGGGCCCTTGGAGCTTAGGAGAAAGAAGGCAAGGATGTAAGGGCTCTGGTGTGCTCCAGAAGAAGGGGTGGGGGTACCTACACTCAAGAGAGGGAGAGAGAACGAGAGAAAGAACGTGTCTATCACCAACTCTTTTCGCAGGGTTAATGGAGTCAGAGGAGGTGGTCACAGCACATTATACTAACACAGTGTTGCAAATTGTTCCCCCAAAATATTTATTTTTTTTTGCTCTTTGCTCTTTTTATTTTTAAATATTATTTTGAATTAGTTTCAGTTGTGCAGCATAGTGGTTAGATAATCATACTTTACAAAATGTTTCCCCGATAATTCAAGTATCCACCTGACACCTTACAGAGAGTTCTTAAAATATTATTGATTACAGTATATTCCTTATGCTGTACTTTACATCCCTGTGACTATTTTGTAACTACCAATTTGTACTTCTTAATCTCTTCACCTTTTCACCCAGTCCCCCTTTAACCTACTCCCCTCTGGCAACCATCAGTATGTTTTCTGTATCTATGAGTTTGTTTCAATTTTGTTTATTCATTCATTTTGTTCTTTAGATTCCACATGTAAGTGAAATCATATGGTATTTGTCTTTCTCTGACTGACTTATTTCACTTAGCATAATATCCTCTAGGTCCACCCATGCCATTGCAAATGGTAATGTTCTTTTTCATGGCCAAGTAATATTCCATTGTATATATGTACCACAGCTTTTTTTTATCCACTTGTCTATTGATAGGCACTTGGGTTGCTTTCATATCTTGGCTATTATAAATAACACCACAAAGCAACCAATTTTGAGATAGAGCTTTATGAAAAGGATGTTTATTAAAGAGTGCCCTTAGAACCAGCACCCGTGGAAGGGAAGGGAAGAAAACAGGAGTACACAGAAGAAGAAGTTGAGCTGTGAGGCAGGCCCAACAGAAGCTCTCAAACTCAGATGGCCCTTGAGAGTTGGTCTGTGTTGGGCTAAGATGGCCAGACCTTCACACTCCATGTCAATCAGTTGTGTTGCATGCTCTGGGCATTATCTTGGGTGAGGGAGTTGTCTGAAGCCAAGGCAATGTCCAAACACACTCCTAGCAGCCTGGGCCACAAGTCCTTCACTGAAGGAATGTCCACCCACATGGATATTTCAAATGGAAAGGTGTCTTTCAAAACATCCCCTCCAAACTCCTCATTTTATGGATCCTGTGGCAAAGATAGGAAGTACATAAACTCACATATTAACAACCCCATCCCCAAATATTTCTCTTCACAACGACCACAGTACCCTTTACAAGGTGCGGATTTGATCAAGTCATGCACCTATTTACAACATTTCAGTGGCTTTTCATTACTCTAAGGCCGGACATCACCATCCTTTACATGGACCTCGAAGCCTTGCCTGACCTGCCCCCTGCAGATGTTCTCCGGCACCTCTCTCATCACTCTCGCCCTCCAGCCCTGACACGGCCTTCAATATTTTGAGACACCTTGTTTCTTCCCACCATAGTATATCTTTCTTCTGTCCAAAAGACTCCACCCGATCACAACAACTCCATGAATTATCTTATTTTGCTGTTGGTAAAAGATCCCTTTCTCATCTTTTGTACGTAGGTGTGTATGCTAGTGTTTAAATTTGGGACCCTGGTTAGTAGTCAGCCATTCATCTCCCCATTACACTTGCTGCAGCAGAATTGCTACCTTGATGATGAATATTATTGTCAAATATAGTTTTTATTAAAAAGTATGGAATGCTTCATGAATTTGCATGTCATCCTTGCACAGGGGCCGTGCTGATCTTCTCTGTATTGTTCCAGTTTTAGCGTATGTGCTGCCGAAGCGAGCACCTGTCAAAAATATTGGCCTTTATCTGATGGGGTGTGTTGACTTGATGCCCAAATTGCTATCTCCCCCAGAGGAAGAGGACTGTTGCTTTGAAATATGTAGGTATTTGCACATCTGTTTCTTGATGAACTGTGGAGATAGAAAAGGAAATACAGAGAATGTGCCTGGTAAAGTCCCCACCTCCACTTTACCTCACTGGACCTTTGTGTAAACTGTGGGTCTGCTCAGCTAACACCATGCATAGTGGATAAACTAGGTTTTTGGGTGGTTTTTTTTATTGCTTAAAGTATTACAAAGGGTATTACATATGTAACCCCCCACCCCCCCCCCCACCCCCGCCCCGGAATTAGGTTTGTTAAAGCAATGTTTGGGGGTGTGGCAGTCGGAATGCCTAAAACAAGACTAAGAGAGGGACAAGAGATAAAGCCATGGTCTACAAATCATGAGATTAAGCCATTTGTGACTAGGATGTACCAGCCTCTGGTATAGTGTAAATTTGATGGCTTTAAAGAGAGTTCACCTTTCTCCCTCTCCTCTACCCCATAGCTTCTCGAATTCCCAGAAGGTTTCCCCAAAGCCCCTCTCAGGTCTTGGAGAGCATGCCTCTTTCTCTGCTTCTATCTGTATTCCCTGCTTCAAGAGTCTCCTCCAAGGACACCTTGATCCCCAGCATCTATTGGTCCCTGTATATCAGAAATCACAAGGTGGGGCGTTCCAGCCGCCCATCAGAGCAATTGAGCAGGGCTTCCGCTGATATTCTAAGCCGCCACTCCTCCCAGAATACCTGGTGTCTTACCTCCTCCACCTCTGCCACACTTGTTCGGTCTCCGGAAGTCCCTAAGTTTTACTGGAAACCCAACTTCTGCCCTAGCAGACTACTGTCACAGAGAAGAATGAGCAAAGAATTGCAAGGCTGGGCAGATGACTCCCAGATGACAAACACACGTGATCCTCAGAATCATTTTTCTCAAGTTCAACTTTTATCATCTATTGTTAATACAACCTAATGATTTTTATAGGCTCGTGAAATTTATTTACAACTCTTTTAAATTGAGAAGACAATGTAATTTCTTTTTTAAAGTAGACATTTTTAAAATTTGTCATCTCATTTCTAATGTATGATTTTTTATTTTTAGAATTACCTTTCCCATGCACACATAATTTTCAGAGTTCATTAGTAAACCACATTTTGGATTCTTCTACAAGATGTTTAACTCTTTCCCATGTTCCTGGATTCTGAGTATTTGTGTCACTTAGAATTTTTCTTTTATATTTATTGAAAGATATCTTTCAGACTTAGGTATTTTGTCATCTAACCTCTCTTGCCCAAAGGAAAATATAAGAGAAATAAGTTGGTTGGTATCTTTAAAGCTGTGACTGCCATCTGGCTGACAGCAATTTAAAACCATGCTGATTTCAGCCATGTTAAAATTAAAAAAGATACAATAACTTACCACAGACACGTCCTTTGCTTAACAGAACAATCCCCTCCCGTCAAGCTCTTTGTATGTATCTCTCAGATGATCCCCCTCCTTCTCACCCTATAGATATCCACCCTATAGATAAATGTGTTTATCATTTCCTTGCCTTTCTCTATACCTTTAGCAAATACATATTGTTTGATCTTCTTTCCGAACTGTTCTGCAAATGGAACTGTATCATATGTATTTTCTGACTTGTTTTTATTATTCAACATTCTATGAGGTTCATCCATGCTAACATGTATAGTTGCTGTTTACTTTTGCTGTTGTATTATGTGCACTGTAGGCATATTCCACAATTGATCAATTCTTCTGTTTGATAAACATTTGGGGTTTTGCTATTATAAAATGTTTTATTATATTAAAAAATCTTCCTTGCAAGCCTAAGTGAGAGTTTCTCCACAGTATATACTCAAGAGAAAGGAGAATTGTTCAGATTAGATCCATGGTGGGAAAGCCTTTTCTGGAAAGTGCTAGATAGTACATATATTACACTTTGCACACAATACAGTCTCTGTTGCAACAACCCAGATCTGTTGTTTCAATGTGAAAGCAGCCATAAACAATATATGAGTGGCTGTGACTGTGTTCTGATAAAACTTTATTCACAAAACTGGGCACTTGGCAAGATTTGGCCCTCAGGCTACCGATTCCTGACTTGGATGATAAACTTTACTATTGTGATTGCCTACATCCCTTTTTCCCTCCCCTATTGATTTCCTGAGGAGACATGAGTCCTGTCTTCACTGAGTCTATGGGCTGAACTGAAGGTACATGTTCGGGGACCTTCTGGAAGAAGAGGAGGAGGAAGGGCCTGGGGACTTGGTGGTGGTGGTCCTTCCCAGCCCATAACCTGTCACTTGTGGCCATAGTCTTGGGGAGACCAAAAGACAGAAGGGGGTTGAGGCAAGACAGGACACTCATATTGGACTTGGGTGGGAGGTGGGGTTCTGCCTGACTGGAGACTGGAGTCTCAGGCTTTAGCACAGTTTACATCACAGACGCCACTGTGAAGTCACTACCAGGAGAGAGGACATCGAAAGCCAAACAAAAGCAGCATTTCTCTTGGAGGTGTATCGTTTCCTTTATTCAAGAACGCTGGCATTGTCTCTCTAGGGATACTTTCATGAGGCTAGGTCTCCATTGCAGCTTCCTGCCCTGGCTCCTATTTAATTGGATTTGGTTTCAATGTAGATCGTCTCCATCATCTCCGATGTCACGATGCCAGTGATCTCCAGATCCTGGCCACCCGGGGCTTTCTCTACCGTCGCCTCTATGTTGCGCTTCCCCACCTTCTTAGCCTTGAAGTCCATCTCCCTGTCGTGTGATGTGACCTCAGTATTTGAACCACGAGTGACTCTGAAGCTCTTGAAGAAAGAGCCAATCCTACTGGATTTCTTACTTAAAGTACCCGAGCTGGTAGATCTGCTCTTCCCCAGTTTGTGAGCTGTCCTCGACTCCTTCCCAGCGGCGCTGTGGCTGGAACTCTTGTGAGAGCTGTGCCTTCTGCCCTTGACGTGGCTCGCCCCTTTTTCTTTTTTGTCATCTCTTGCGTTTTTATGGCCAGATGATGACCGGTGGGAGGATGATTTCCGGAGCGACTTGCTCACTCCTGTCCTGCGGTGATGGGAACTTTTCCTTGTGGAAGCTCTGTCCTTCTTTTCTCTCTTTTCTTTTTTTCCCCTCTGAGATTCGGCTCTGTGTGGGGAGACCTTCTGGTTCCCTTCCCGCTCACTCTTCAAGGTGGAGACGTGGTCTTCAGCTCTGTCTACGGCAGGATTTGTGGTTGTCACTGTACACGTGACGCTGGTGCTGCTGGCCGGGGAGATATTAGTAGTCCCTGCCATTGCCATGGAAGTGTTTAATGAGGACGAGCTGCCAGCACTCACCAAGACCACATTCGTGCCCTCTGAGGATATGTTGGCAGCACCTGCCGCGGCCTTGCTGGATCCACTTTCTCCTGGACCCTGGGTGGTGGCTCCAGCCATGGCTACGCCTATCTGGCCTGTGCCCGCATTCTTGGTTGCTGCTATGCTCAAAGCACCTGCTGTAGGACTTGATCCCGCTCCTGCTGCTGCCACGTTGGCTCTAGGACTTGTTCTCACTCCTGCTGCTGCCACGTTGGCTTTAGGGCCTGTTGTCACTCCTGCTGCTGCCATGCTTGCTGTAGGATTTGTTCCCGCTCCTGCTGCTGCCCTGTTGGCTGCAGGGCTTGTTGTCACTCCCGCTGCTGCCACGCTTGCTCTAGGGCTTGTTCCTGCTACTGCCAGGCCTGCGGTTGCCCCTTTGGCCGCTCCTTCGGCAGTCCCTGGAGTTTTCTTGATGTGAGCTGCACTGGGCATTCCCTCTCCCCCAGCGTAACCAGAAGAAGTGGCTCTGGACACATCACAAAGATTGCAAAACCTCGCCTCATTCTGATCGCCATCTCCACGGAACTCTGCCGTCTGTGCCAAGGGGAGGAGAAACGGGTGAGACAGAGATGACAAGGTGAGACCACGACAATCTGCTCTCTCCCATCCTGGAGCTGAGCATCTCCAGGGCTTCTAAGTAGAAGCGCCTTTGAGATCCTTACGTCTAAGCTCCCCTGGGAGGCAACTTCCCATTCACAGCATCCCTGTCAAACAGTCACGTGGTTTTGCGTGAACAGTCCCCATGCCAAGGAAAGCGCTGATGCAATTCCCAATCCTCATGCAGTGGGGTTTTTTGTTTGTTTGTTTGTTTTTGCACACTTGTGCTTATTTCTCTGCAGACAGATCTTACAAATGGGATTGCTGGGTCAAGGGTGTCACACATTTCACATTTCAGTGGCTGCTAAAAGAAATAGTACATGTGCAGACACCCAAGCTGAATTGCGCTGATTTTAATCAGCAATGGCAGTCACAGTGGGACAGAGGAAGGAAGAGACCACCTGGGTCGGGGGAAGTGTTCAGGAAGGGATAGCACAGTCAGGATGCTATAGAAGGGATTACAACCCCGCGGCTGAGACCCGAGCAGCTGACGCCTAAGGTCTCGCTGAACTTCGGCTTTGTGGGACAAGGTGGAGAAGCGCGTGCAATCTCCTCAGTGTGGCTAGTGCCATTGCGGTGGCCCTGAACCTTCTGAAAATGGAATGCACTTCCCTAGTGAGCTTCAGAGAGCACCAGCGGCTTCGTAGGACCAGTTTTGAGCTGCTCCCCCAAAGCACCCGGGCCCATTCTCTTGCGTCTCCGTAGAGGCTTACCAATAGGCTGCTGTCATCCTCTATGGTCGCTGCGTCCCCGCTTTGTGGTGCCCGGGTACTGCTGCAACTCTCCACTGGTGGTCTCAGGAGATAGACGAGCTTTTCCCAGTAGCAAAATAGGTCTTCCCGTGCGTCTGCGGAGGGACACAGCTGCAGATAGAAAGTACGACCAGTGGCAAGCTTCAGGCGCAGCTGCTGCTTCTCACGATCGTGAATGGAGATCTTGACAAACTTCAAGGGCAGGAGCCTGGTGAGCTCTAGGGTCTTCGGGGGCTTGCGGCCTCTCCCCTTGGCGGGCCGGAGGCGTCTGGTATGCTCTTCGCAGACTTTAGTTGGTCGGGCCAGCAGCATGACGTCAGGCAGCGGAAGGATGGGGCTGGTGGATGCGATGCCCACGGTCACCATTCGGACACGGTTGTGTACGTCAATCATCTCTCCCTTTTTGCTAATCTGGATAAAGTCGCTCTCAAACATCGGTGCGTACTTGAAAATATCATACTCCCCTCCCTTGTACAGTTGTCGCTGCAGGTCCCCCATGCAGGTATTGAACACGCCCTGGGAACGGTAGCTGCGGGCGGTGTAGTAAGGTAACAAGCACTCACTGCTCATGGTTCTCTGAATTTAAGACAGCCATAAATCGAGTCTCCGAGAGAGAGGGAGTGAAGTCCACTGCCCATCTCCCTGCAGGGTTCTGCCTACAGCTCCTCACACCACTGCATTGACCCTGACAGTCCTTTGTGACCTGTCACTATTACACACCCCTTTGTCCAGCCTTCAAGCACCCACCCCCTTGGGACAAGGTCACCAGCCCGCCCCCCCAAAAACAAAAAAACAAAACACAAACCACCACCTCCAAGGGTGACAGGCTGACCCTGCCAGGGTGTGGGTGGAGGTAGGCTGGGTGTTCTTTCTAATCAAGATGCCGGGATGTGTCATTGATGAAATCATCCTGCTTTGGTAAACATCCAGGTTGTTTCCAGTTTTATTGTTGTTGTTACAGCTATCCCTGCAATGATCATCTTCCTGCAAATATATTGTTGCTTTTGCTGAAAAACTGCCTGGGGATAAACGCCTGGAAGTGGGTTGTGTGCTGGCGATGTTGTTCTCCGCGTGCCCAGTGAGTAGCACAATGCAAGCAGGCACTCAAGTTGCTGAACGAACGGTCCAAAGGGGCTTCTGCTACCTATCAGAACTAGAGTCCCATTCATACAGTGGTTCCCAGGGTGTGGGACGTCTTCATTCATTTCCTCATTTGAAGGAGGCTAATTTTTAAAACCATAATTTTATGGTTAGGGATTGAGGCTCAGAATTGTCCTGCACAGCGTCAGAATGCAGAACTGGATTCTACCTGAGGTCTGGGGACTCAGATCAGGGATTTTTCTCTGCCTCCAGCTGCATGGCTCACCATTAGAGTCTCACTTTTCTCTAAATATAGAACTGTTTGCAGTTAGCCATATGCGTGGGGACTTACTGGGAACCACAGGAATTCAAAGAGCTCTTGAGTCACCATAAGATTTCCCACACTGGTATGCCTGTTGTTTCACTCTTGATGTCTACCTGATAAACCACTGATGTTTGGTTTCTTTGAAAAGCTCTTCAGAGAAATTATGGCAAAGATGTATTTCTTTGCACAGGGTCATAAATCCAAATTTCCCCTCCTTCAGTTGGAAACTACTTCTGAGATGAAATACATCCCTCAAACCCAGTGATTGCTCTGTAAAGGTCTTGAAATAAACTTCAGCCCCCAACTGTTTTTCTTATATCCCTCGAGCCTACTGCATGTTGCAACTTTTCAATAAATATGAACTTGCTTGTGGCCATTGAGATTCATTCTTTCATTTGTTTATTCAACAAAATGTACTGAGCGAGTACTATTTTCAGGACAGGTCAGAAAATGGAAATGCAAAGATAGTCTCTACCTCTAAAGCACTAAAATGCATTTTCTGAAGATGTTTAATGACTTTTCCAAAAAAAGAACAAAGTGCTTATATTCTATTGTAAAGAGATAATCACTCAAAGTTAACACTATTAGGTTTAAAATAAGAAGTGAGGGATTTCTATATTATATTAATTTTTTTTCTTTAAGACTTTTCAAAAATTTATTCCCTTCTTCCAAAGTTTAAAACTCTAACACATCCTTACCAAAAAAATGAAGGTTAATTTATCAAGATGTATTTATTGATTGCCTACTATGTGCCCGCCACTGTGCTGAGAGTATTCAGGTTGTCAAACATAAGTTTCAAATATTTGTAAACATGACTCTTATACAAATACAGAATGAAAACATGTCAAAGATTTAATTAATTCATCAATAAGGGAACCAGCAGGATGGTAAAGATGGTTCAAAAGGGAATTAGGAATATGCATTGGCATTGGAGAAAGAATGGTGAGCTAACATTGCCAGGCTAGATTTTTTTTAAAATGGTTAAATGTCTACAACGCAATAAAAGGATAACCTTTGGGGTTATCTTTTCTGCTAAACAAAAGTCTCTAAGTTACGTTCACAGAGTCTGAGCCTTGGATCAATATTAGCTTTCTTGGGGTGCTGAAAATGTTCTAAAATTACATTGTGATAGGCACACAACTCCGTGAACATACTAAAAACCACGGGCCCGCACCGTTCTAATGGATAAAGTTTATGGCATGTGAAATGTATCTCAACAAAGCTGTTAAAAATAATAGATAAGAATACTTCACTCTTGATTTATTGATCCAATCTCGTTGTCTTACTTTCCTCTCCTGTATAATTAAATAATCCTTGGGCAGGCATATTAAACAAGCTTTAATATGACATTGGACGTACATGTTGCCTGCTTTACAATTTTTTAATTTATACGTTTTGGGTCATTTTTTCCTATGGAGGAATATAGTGAAGCATGTATAAGCCATGACCCTCAATCCAAAAAGCTTACAATCCAGTAAGAGAACACAGTGAAGAAACAGGACAAAACAGGAAGGAAGTGAAATACATGCTAGCAGGGGTCCTCAAACTACAGCCCGCGGGCCACATGCGGCCCGCCGGGTGTTTTTGCCGCAGCTGCCTGTTGCTTAGCAGCCGACTAGTTTTTTTTTAAACTATAGTCCGGCCCCCCAAAGGTCTGAGGGACAGTGAAATGGCCCCCTGTTTAAAAAGTTTGAGGACCCCTGTTAGAGGAATACAGAATAAGTTGAATGAATGGTGGGCCTAATAACATTTATTACCAATAATTGTTTTTGTAAGAAGGAAAACTGCCAAACCCACCATTCTGAGGATAGTTTTCTGTGCATTTTAAATTGGCTTAAGATAGAAGAGATGTAAAGAGTGAAAACACAAAACACTGGATAGGATGTACTAAATATATGTAGATGTGCAAGATTATAGATGGTCCAACTCTACCTGTTTATCGTGGGAAGAGGTTCCAAGTCCATCCCTTTTGTTCCCCAACTATTATTTTGAAAAACAAGGCAAGCAGACAGCTATAAATAGCCTTTTCAATGAATATGCCTCCTGAGAGGGCACTGTGAGCTAGGCAGGATGTGAGGGTGGGGAGATTTCCATACTGTACACAGTATGTATGCGCTGGGTAAGTCCCCTGGCCCAAAATACAATCCACAGTCCTTTTATGTTGATGCTGCTAAGCCGAGATGGCGTGGGATGAGCTGCGGTTAGCCTTGGGCACCTAAGGACTTCAGGAAGCCAGTCTGATTTCTGCCTCACCTTTGGCTGTCAGAAAAAGACCACAGTCACCTAGACTCTTCCCCTGAGGGCCATTATGCAAATCAATTTGCTTCTGCCTTGGGTTTCAAAAGAGAATGGTCTGGAAAGAAAAAGAAAGAAGATGGGCTGGGATACATCAAAGAGTCAGACAGGTGATCAAAATAATTGCATTTCTCAATTTGCTGGTCTGAGTAGCGGGGCCCCTCTTCACCTCCTACTCTCTTTCTGCTCCCTTGTTTTTGTTCTGCTCAGCCATATCTAGCCCGACTCAGAGCCAAAATTCTGCCCTGCTCATCAGTCTAAGGCAGGGGTCCTCAAACTATGGCCTGCGGGCCACATGCAAATACAAATATTGTATTTGTTCCCGTTTTGCTTTTTTACTTCAAAATAAGATATGTGCAGTGTGCATAGGAATTTGTTCATAGTTTTTTTTTAAACTATAGTCCGGCCCTCCAACGGTCTGAGGGACAGTGAACTGGCCCCTTGTTTAAAAAGTTTGAGGACCCCTGGACTAAGGACTATTTCCTTCTCTCTGGTTCCAATTTTGCTATGTTTCTAAGCCATGAGATGTCCCGCCTCCGTTTATATATTTATTTCTTTGATGTTGTACTGAAGAAGCTGAAACTGGAAAAGTTGGCCTTGGTGCTACCCGTCACCACCAGGACCACTAAGTAGAGACAAGGGTTGAATCTGAATGGGCACTTTATTCAGAGGGCTGGTGGGCTGAGAACAAGGCAGGTTATGTGCCTTAAAAGGTGGTCATCTTACATCTCATCTCAAGCCAACCCTTCTTACAAGGAGAAGAGAAGCGTAGGTAAAGGGTTTGGAACTCAGGAGAAAGTAGGTTAATCAGATAAAAGGTGCAGCCTGGTGATTTTCTGAGCATCCCTTCATCTGCTGACCGGTGATTCTTCATCTGCATCCTGGGTGGCGGACACTCTCTCCCTGGAGCACAATGGTTCAGGTACTGCCTTGGCCACTCGTGGTCCTCCAGGAGCACAAAGGTCGAATTGCTTGCAAGTCTTCTGAGGTCAGGACAGGTCCAGTCATACACTCCAGTCCCTGGACCAATAGCTTTCCACATGCATTAGCTACCAAGCCTATTAACCATATAGCTAAAGCTACAAAAATTTTAACTTCTTGAGTTTCCCATCAAAGCTTGTAATGGCCCAGCCAGCGTGGCTCAATGGTTGAGTGTCGACCTATAAACCAGGAGGTCACAGTTCAATTCCCGTCTGGGCACATGCCTGGTGTTGCGGGCTCAATCCCCAGTGGGACATGCAGGAGGCAGCTGATTAGTGATTTTTCTCTCATCATTGATGTTTCTTTCTCTCTCTCCCTCTCCCTTCCTCTTGGAAATCAATAAAAAATATTTTTTAAAAAAGCTTGCAATAAAATAGGCACACAAGCAATAAAACAGTTAACATCGAAGTTCAAAATAAAGATGAAAACCTCTATACAGGTAGAAGGGAGTAAATGATCCAGAAGCTGGGATAAGATGATAATTGCAATTAAATATTAAATTTAACTCTGAAAATATACTGGAAGAATGCAAAATAAATGTTAACATTGGTTTTCTTTGAGGGGTGAGACTGGAAATGATTATTATTTTTGTCTATTTGCTGGTGTGCTTCTCCAACAAGAATATATTTCACTTTTATAACCAGGAATATATATATTTCAAAAAAATAGCTCTAAGCTTCTGGCCACCTCAGTGATCACTGTCTTCTACTAATCAAACCAATGATTTCTGACAAAGGACATATTTTTATTTTTTTATCTTTTTAAAATTTCTTTATTGATGAAGGTATTACATATGTGTCCTTATCCCCCAACTACCCCCTGACATATTTTTATTTTAAATTGGAAAGTAAAAATATTCTCCCACAATATTACCTTTTTAAATTATGTA